GCTTTGTGCTGACAGCAGAGAGCCCAATGCAGGGCTCGAACTCACAAACCATGAGATCATGACCTGAGCTGAAGTCGGATGTTTAAATGACTGAGCCACCCAGGCGCACCCATACCTTGTTAATTTTTATGTAAGATGCTGAATGTTCTTCTGTGGCCCCCCTTATACATTTCCTCTTGCTAAGTGGACAGCATAGCATAGGCCAAAGATCAGGGGGGTTTTGCAGACCCCATACCTGCTTTCTGCTGATTTATTTAGATCCAGGAATTTAGGCTGAAAGAGTCAGGTGAATGGCTGGGTCATCATCGGATTCTCAAAGCTGCTTGGACCATTGGGGGTTGCTCTCTCTCTATTGGAACATTAATGCAAAGGGAAAGGTCTCATTTGTAATTAATCAAGCAGTAGTGAGAGCAAGTACAGGGAGCTTGCATTGATTCCTAACACATCAAACAAAATGGCGCCCAGCAATCGCAGCCTTGGAGAGGATTGCCAAATTGGATTAGCAAACCAAATGTCGGTTTTAATGCCTGAGAGATGGACGAGGCACTTATTAAACAGTCCACAAGCAGGGATGTTTCGAGTACTTAATCAACCCTTCATTTCCCTCCTCCAGGGAACAGGGAAGCCTCAGTGCCACCCATGGTGAAAAATTACCAATCCCTGCAGGATCTCTCCCTGCCATTTTCACTGCAGAATGTGCATGCATTATAGCAAGAGTCCAAGGAAGACAATGTAAGGATACTCAGCCAGGGCAGTGGAAACTGCATAGGTCCGAGGGCAGGGGACCTGCCTGCAATCCCTGCTTCTCCCACCTCTCACTGTGAGGCCTCAGGTCTGTCATTCCCCACTCTGGGTCTCAGTGCTCCCTTCAAGGCCTTTCCACCCTGACAAGCCTAAGTTAGCTTTTTGAGGATGCTTACAGGAGGCAGTGGGCAAAGAGGCTTGTGTAGCCAGTGCTTTCCCTGGGGGAAGGACTTGCTCTGTGGGGGAGAGAGGTGGGGTGCCATTCAATTTTCTCTTTGAGGTTTTAATGCAACCTCTGCCTTCGGGTTGGAAAGCCCCCTTCCATTCTCTCAACCTTTTTTCTCATTTTAGAGTCTTAAATTTAGAGTCAGAGAGCACCAAAAAGGCATTGGGGACCCCTCTGTTGGAGTCTTGGAGGCATCCCTCTGTATTCTCTGGTAAGATCTCTTACAGGGTGGCTTTTGAGGTGGCATTCCTCTCCCTTGCCCCTATTTCTGCATCCTTGATGTATTCCACTTTTCCCCTTAAGGAGAAACAAGGGTTAAAGGGAAGGGTCCTGTGTTAGACTTTGCATCAAGTCCCGTTACTGCTAGTTACACAGTGACTTTGACCTTAGTTGGCCCAGGCTCTTCCTTGTACAGTTTGTAAAACTGAGGTCCAGACATGGCAAGAGCTTTGCCCAAGATCCCAATATGAGTTTGCAGCAAAGCCAGGGCTGGTCTTCTTCAGTCACTCCTCCCTTGGCTCACTTGCCTTAGCCCTGCCAGCCTAAGCCAGGGGTGGGGCCGCCACCAGGCCTGGTCAGCAGGGGACACAGTCTGGTCTGAAGTGGTGCCCACATTCCCAGGCTGAGGCCTCAGATCCCTTTTTGGTTACGTGGATGTTCTTTTTGCGGGATTCCGTATGTACCAGGAGAGCATCCTCTGTTTCTTCCCTTCCAGGAAAGAAACTTTCCTCCCTTGTTTCCTATAATCAAAGCAAACACCCACTCCCACCCCCCAGCATCAGGAGGCATTGTGGTGGGACCCACCAGTTTCCAGGTGGGTCTACTTTATTCAAGGAGGCCTAGCAAGCCTTCCCATGCCACTCCTTATTAAATTAAAACCCAAATGCAAACATTAAACAAAGTATGATAAAATCTTTGGAAAAAACCAAACCAAACAAATTCTGTAAACTTCTAGTTAAAATGTTGCTCCCATCACTCTAATCCATCTAGTATCCATCTGTGCTGACTCTACTCCTGCTCTTATCATCACACTTCAGTAGAACGTTTCTTTCAAGCTGGCCAAAACACTGTTTTCAGGGTCCAGCATTTTACCCTTGATATTCCTGCTGACAGGGCCCTTCTCCTCACTCTCCATAGATGAGATGCCTGGCTTCTACCATCAAGCCTCTATGACTCTGCAAGAATGAGGGATAAAACAGCTGGAAAGGGGAGTGAGTAGTGCCCCCCTCAGGCTACAAATGCCCCTCCTTCCCCATCAAAATATCAAAGGGAGGGATGAGTTATTGCCTCAGCAGGGTTGGGTGGTCTTGCCCTTCCTGGTAGGAGCCGATTTCTTAATTGATTTATTTACTTCCCTGGCCCTTTCCTCATCTTTCTGATTAATAGTTTAGTTGGGGGTTCTGGGAAATTTATATCCAATTGTTACCATAGCAACCAGCTCTCTTGCACAGAATACCACAGAAAATGCATTTGGGGTCTTCTGAAGGCGCTGGGTTTGTAAGGATCTCAGAGTATACCAGGGCACAATGGGCAAGATGATGTTCAACTAATAGGAGTAAGAATTATGAGCAAGGATATGTAATGGTCTCACCACACTGTAAATATGGAAGGACAGTTTTAGTGTCTTTCCTCTCCTTTTCTTGTCTCTCTTTCCCTGAACACATCTCCCCCTCAATGTTTTCTCCTAGGTTCCCCCAAATTAGTTCCCCACAGTACAAGGGCAAGGAGTTCTGGAGAATCTCATTTACTTTTGGCAAAAGGAAGAATTTGTAGCAGGCAGAACCATCTGAAGATGCAATTGTGGCCGCCTTGGGATGTAATGATCTCTCTATCGCTGGAGGTGTGTGAAGGGGGCCTGTCAGAGGGCTCTAGAGAGAACTGCACAAAAGATGGAGTGAGGGGTGGTAGTGTGGAATCTCTGGGTCCCTCCTGGCCCTGGGATGGAGGAGTTGAACTGAACCTGCTTGTGAGCCCATCTCACCATCCCCCAACTAAATGGAATGTCAGAGTTGGGCATTTTAGCTCCCTGGGCACCTGGGATGTCCATTGTGTCCCCATAAACTCAATACCTAGCATCTTGCCTGGCCCATGTATGAATGAATGAATTCCTTAGGGTTTTATTAAGTGCAGTGGGCACAATCTATTGTTTGTATTCTTTTATTATGATAATAAAAAACCTACTTTTAAAAAAAGTTTATTTATTTATTTTTGAGAAAGAGAGAGAGAGAGAGAGAAGCATGAGCAGGGGAGGGGCAGAGAGACAGGGTGAGAGAGAGAATCCCAAGCAGGCTCCATGCTGTCAGTGCAGAACCTGATACAGGGCTCGATCCCACAAACTGTGAGATCATGACCTAAGCTGAAATCAAGAGTTGTATGCCTAACCAACTGAGCCACGCAGGCGTCCCAAATCTACTTTTTAAAACATGGCCAAATAACAACTTGAGCTAGAAGCAGAAAAAAAAAAAAAAAAGATGTTGCTTATAAAACCCGCTCCCACATGCTGGAATCATTCCCTGAATTACAGTTGAGGCATAAAAGTGTTTGTTCTCTATAACCATGTGGAGGCCATGTGGCATAGGGAAAGCTCTCCATGGACAAGTCCCTTATTCTCCCTGTGCCTCTGTGTTATCTTCTGTGAAATGGGAGTAATGGAAGTCATCAGGAATGAACAGCTAATGGGTAGAGCTTCCTACAGTGCTATGTCCAGAAGGATTCAGAAGTTGCTTCTGAGCTAAGTTGAAGAGTGTATGGTAATAGATTAGCAATGTCTGCCCTGGGCACCAGACGGGAGGAGGGGGCTTACGTATTGTGTGTTTGTCATCCTGCTCTAGGTGGTCTTGAGGGGCCCTGATGGCTCTAGATGCCAAGACTGAAGGTCACGCCAGCCATTCTAGGTCTCCTCAATCATTCCTCTTTGCTGATTTTGGCTAAGCTGTCACATGCTTGGGGCCTTTGCTGGGACAACTGGGCTGACTCATTACCTCACCCTCCAATAGCCTTGCCTGCCCTTGTCCACATGGTGGGGACAAGGGTCCCAAGAGAGCATGTGGCAGGGTACAAGGCCTCTTGAGGCTTACGCTCAGAAGTAACATAATATCACCTTTACTATAGTCTATTGGTCAGAATTAGTCACAGTCTCCAGACGTGGGAAAATAGACCCCCCATCTTAGGAAGAGCTGCAAAATAACATATGCAAAACAGCATAGATACAGGAAGGGAAATAATCGGGGCCATTTTTGCAAACAATCTACCACAATTACCTTGTTTTAAACAAAAAGCAGAGCCTTGAGTTTATTACCTATGTGCCCCAGTGAGCAAGTGGGGATGAATTCTGTTCTTTTCCACTGTCTGGTTCAAGTCTATTTTTAGATGTAGTCTAATAAAATGAATTTCACACCTGGGTTACTCACCCACTAACAAACACTCTGTTCTTATCAATGCCTGGGACAAACACCTAGGCGGCCTAGATTTGTAGTTCCATTACCTCCGAGCACAATAATTGTTAATTACTTGCTTTATTTGGTTCTGTTGCGTTTGCCAATAGTCAATTACCTATGTTAGGTTTTCTTGTGATCAGTGGGGCTTATCCAATATTGCAGCTCAGTTCTGTTTTTGTCTCAGAGATGTCTTTTCCAAGAGAGTTAAAGAAAACCCTTGTTCACTAGTTTATTGAATATTAGCCTTTATCTGCTTATTTCAAAGTCTCCTTATTCACTGCTGAGAGCACCAAAGTGCTCAGGCTGAGCTCTTAGAATCGAACAAAAGACTAAAGATAAGCCCCCCTTTGCCCCATCTGGCTAAAGCCCAGCACGTGGAATAGAAGAAAGAACAAATTGTGGGGTCCTAGGGGCATTCGTTTAGTTCATGCCTGAATCTTGGAAACTGCCTTATCCCCTTGAATCCACCCTCCGCATTGCGGCCAAGAGACCCAATGCAGAGATCTGATCACATTACTTGGGTTAGAGTGCATTGATGGACCCAGTTCTCCAGTTCTCTTTTTACCCATGATCTGTGTCATATGACTTTGCAGGTGCATGCCTTTGAATCTGGACCAGGCCATGTGACTTCCCTTTACCAACAGAATGAGGTGGAAGCGACCATGTGCCATTTCCAAGCTCAGGCTTCCTGACACCTTGCATGTCTCCTTTTGTACTCCGTGCTTCTGCCATTGCCATGATCAAGACACCACCCATGTTGGCCCGGTGGTCCCAAGAGGAAGAAAAGAGACTCATGAAGAGCCAGATTGCCTCAGCAAAGGTCCACCAAAACCATCCCCCAGCTGAACTCAGACGGGTAAGTCATGAACACTATTATTTTATTTTTTATTACTTTTTAAAGATTTTATTTTTAGGGGTGCCTGGGCCACTCAGTTAAGTGTCTGACTTCAGCTCAGATCACGATCTCACAGTTCATGAGTTCAATCCCCATGTCAGGCTCTGTGTAGACAGCTCAGAGCCTGTAGCCTGCTTCGGATTCTGTGTGTGTGTGTGTGTGTGTGTCTCTCTCTCTGCGCCCCTCCCCCCAACTTGTGTGCTCTGTCTCTCAAAAATAAATAAACATTAAAAAAATAAAAAAGTAGGGGCGCCTGGGTGGCGCAGTCGGTTAAGCGTCCGACTTCAGCCAGGTCACGATCTCGCGGTCCGTGAGTTCGAGCCCCGCGTTGGGCTCTGGGCTGATGGCTCGGAGCCTTGAGCCTGTTTCCGATTCTGTGTCTCCCTCTCTCTCTGCCCCTCCCCCGTTCATGCTCTGTCTCTCTCTGTCCCAAAAATAAATAAACGTTGAAAAAAAAGTAAAAAAAAATAAAAATAAAAAAATAAAAAAATAAAAATAAATAAAAAAGTAAAGGTTTTATTTTTAGGTAATCTCTACACCCAATGTGGGACTCGAACTTAATAATCAAGAGTTACTTGCTCCACTGACTGAGCCAGCCAAGCACCCCAACACTGTTGTTTTATTTTTTTTTTAATTATTTTTTTTTCAACATTTATTTATTTTTGGGACAGAGAGAGACAGAGCATGAACGGGAGAGGGGCAGAGAGAGAGGGAGACACAGAATCGGAAACAGGCTTCAGGCTCTGAGCCATCAGCCCAGAGCCTGACGCGGGGCTCGAACTCACGGACCGCGAGATCGTGACCTGGCTGAAGTCCGACGCTTAACCGACTGCGCCACCCAGGCGCCCCAACACTGTTGTTTTAAACCATTGAGATTTGGAGTGGTTAATTAATTATGTGGCAAAAGCTGATTCATCATGCTTGTGTGTAATCCCAGTGCTGGTCTCCTGTGCCTTGAGGCATAACATCCAGACAAAACCTTCCAGCATCTGGGCCCAGCTACTTTTCCTGTCTTGGTGCCTCCAGATTTCCCTTTTCACTTTACACTTCAACAATGACCTCAAATGACTTGCAGTTCCTCAAATGCATCATCCTGGCTCACATTTCTATGCCTCTGCACTGGTTGTGCCCTCTGCCTAGAATGCCATTCTCTTCTCCTTTGTCCAGAAAACTCCTATTCATCTGTCTAAACCCAGCTCAGGCATTGTCTCTTTCAAGAAAATTCACTGTATTTTCCTCTCCCTTGTGGTAAATCATTCTCATTTCTGTGAAAGCTCTGGATTCATGTATAAATCTATTGTTACCATGTGACATGGTATTATGGCGTGCGTTCTTTTTATTTTGTTTTTTTCCCATCTTTGCTTGAGGACAAGGACAGCTTTAATTCATCAATGTATTCTTAGTGCCTGGTTCCAACAATGTATGATGACTAAGTGGAATGTTGGGATCCTTTCTTGCTGGGGAAATTGTCCACAATGGGAAGATGGTCATTTCTTGCTCCCTTTCTTCCTCCTAAGCTCATGTAGTAGATTTGCTTACTTTGTATCCTTGCACTTACGGTCTGATTCCACTGTGGGGGACACTCAGAGCTTTGTGAAGAAATGAGTCCTGGGTCCTATGCGTGCCCCCGCTGGGCTATGAGCCCCTCCAAGGCTGAATCTGGGTTTCTTCACCTCTATGCCCCTGGGGCTGGCACCAAGCCTGTACATGAGCAGTCTCAGAAAATCCATAAAATTCAAAATATTTATATTTCTGGAACATCCATCAAGTGCCAGGCACTGTTCTAGGTGCTGCGAATAGGTGGTGACCAGATAGACATGGGTCCCTGCCCTCCCAAAGCATGCACTCCAGCTGGGGAGACAGGAAAGACAGTAAACAACTCCGTTAAGGAAAATGTCATTCCTGTTTCTTCCCACGGCTGGAGGAATTCTCTTTGCACTGGAAGTTATGTTTATGAGTGTCCAAATTAAAAATTAGCCATTTGTGAAGGGTGTTCAGGAAGGTAGGGGATCTCAAAGAGAGCAGTTAGTTGTTCTCCAGAAGAGCGAATGCTGAGACACAACTAGAAGTTAGTGACAGCAGACCCTACACCTGACACCAGCCAGGGGTACACTGTGGGTAGGCAGGAGCATTTTAAATGAGCCCTATTCCCAATAGCTCTAGGGCACATCCCAAATCGCAAGCACTGATTTGCTATTGAGCTATTTTTCAGTTGGACAACTTTATATATCGTGCTCCAGGGTGAGCAGTAACAGAAATGTATTTAATTAATGATATGGGGGAGGCCAACCAGTAAATAAATAATTACAAAGTGTGACAAGCACATTATGAAGGGACCTGAGATGAAATTGGGAGGAAGGCAGGGGCCTTGAGGCTGTTGTAAGTGCTTTGGACCTTATCGTGAGTGCATTGGAGACCAGGGGAGAGATGGGATCTGATCGGTGCTTAAAGAATATCACTTCCGCCGCCATTTTTATTTAATTGAATCAAATATTTCTGGAGAGCGTCCCAACAAACTGCCTTCTAGTTCTTGAAGCCATCAACTCCCCATGCTGAATTTCAATACCACCTCCTAGAACTTAGGGCCCTAATTTTCCAAGGAGACAAACACTCAATTTTTGGTTTAGATTTGCATGAGAAAGAGACCTTAATTACTCTGATCTCTAACACCTCTGAGGAGCTGATTTGAGCTTTTCAGATGCAAAGAGTGTTAATTGGCTAAGGGGCCCAGCTGAGCTTACCCGCCATCTCCAAGTGGGTAGGGGGTGGGGATGGGGCTGGGAGATGGGGAAGGTGTTTAGAGAGGAGGGGGCACTTCCTGTGGTCAGTTTCCTGTAGGTCTGCAGAGGGCAAGAGGAGATCAATAGCAGTTTTGCCGACTTTACCCCTTCAAGTGTCCTCCCACGAGCCCTTCAAGATCCAGCTCATCTCCTCTTATTCTAAAGCTTCCCTCAGCCCCACTCCCATCCCAGGATCTCTCTAACTGCTTCCTGGAAAGCTAGTGCCTCCCTGGGATCCTGGTTTCTAATTACAGCACTTCCCACACTGCATTGGATGGTCTGTTAACTGGGCCACCCTTCTACTTGGAGGACAAGGACCCATCTCATGCAGCTTGGCCTTCTTGCAGAGCTCAAAGTGAGCACCCAGGAAATGTGAAACAAAGGAGTAATAGAACAAGTAGTAATAATAATAATGTTAATAATATAATTACAGAAGTCATCACTTACATAGGGCTTCCTGTGATTCTATGCTGTTTGGTCTTAAAGTTAGAAAACATGTAATCCTCTTCTCCAATTCCTGCCAGAGCAGGTGTCCTGTATGAATCATTACTGATAGTTATAGATTTATTTGTGGGATTATTTAATATTGACCACCATATGAGGATAAGAAATCTGTTTTAATCACTGTACTATCCACAGTGCCTAGCTCAGTCTCTGGTATATAAAGGCTTGATAAATATTTGTTGAATGAGTGAATGCTTGCATACCTTTAGTGATGGGGAGCTCACTATCTCCTGAGGAAGTCTTGCTCATTTTTAGCACCTTTTCCTGTTAGCTGTTCCTTCTGTTGATGCTACATTTGTTTCCATGGAGTGTTCATCTAGTCCTGACTACTGGTCTCTCCCAAAGACAACTTCCCCTCCTCCCCAGAGGCTGGAAGGCTATGACCTATAAATGTCTCTTCTTAACTCCCTCTATATTTTCCTGGGTACAGCACATCCAGATCCTTCCTCATAATGACCTAGCATCCAGTCACTGCCTGATCCTGGTCACCCTCTGTGGAATAGTCCAGATTGTCTAGTTCCCTCTCACAGTAAAGGCCTGCCATATATGTGAAGATGGGACTCTCATTCCCCACGTTTTGGGAGTTACGTTTGTATTAATACAATTCTTTCAATGCACTTACCGCTGCTCTAAATTAAGAGACTTGGCACATATCCGATGTGGAAGGTGGTTAGAACAAATGAAGTCTTTCCTTTTCTACAGAAACTGTTGATAGTGGGTATATGGGTGTTCACTGAAAAACATTTTGAAAAATTTGGTATGTTTGAAATGTTTCATAATAAAAATGTTGGAAAGAGGAAAAAACCCCAATAGAGTAATTAAAATGGAATACTAAAAATTTTTTGTTAACTCCAAAGAAGACAAAAGAAGAAAGAGAAAAGGAAAACAGGATGAATAGAAAACAAATAACCAAATGACCATCCTAAAGGCAGCCATATCAAGAATAATATCAAATGTAAATGAACTAAACATTTCAGTTAAAGACAGAAACTTTGGGGCTGGTTAAAACAGCAAGAGCTAATTACCTTCTGTCTACAACTGTCTATTTTCTGTAGACACTGCTGTATACACTATGCAGAAGCACTAATTATAAGAAAGCTAAAGTGGCTGGCTATATTAATATCAGATATCATACTTTAAGACAAGAAGTATTATCAGAGGCAAAGAAGTAAGCTCCATAGTGAAAACTGGGTCCATTCTTCAAGAGGACAAAACAGTTATAAATGTGAATGTGTACAAAAGTAGAGTTTCAAAATACATGAAGTGAAAACTGACAGCACTAAAGGAGGACACAGATAAATCTATAACCATATCTTTACTCTCTTGGTAGTTGGTAAAATTATTCTCACAAAAATAGTAAGGACATTAAAGAGCTCAACAACATTATCGTGCACTTTGACACTGAGTAACTACAGAATACTTAGGTTTTTCAAGTGCCCATGGAGTGTTCACCAGGATAGACTATATGCTGGGTAGAAAATAAAACAAATGTTAATGAAGTTTAAAATTTGAAAACATGCAGAGTGTGTCCTTTGATGACAATTAATGATGAACATAAAGCTATAGATTTAAGTTCAATGAGTCCCAAGAACAAGAAACATGAAGGAAAGGATATCAAGGCATATGGTAATGTAATTGCTCGAAAGCATTGATAAAGAGAAACTTCAAAAAGCTGCA